ACTTGCACCACATAGCCTCATACATCCCGCTGGCTTTCGTTAGGTGGTGGACCACTCGCGCGGCCGCGGCCCGCTGGCCGCCCCATGGGATGCCAGGGGGGGGGGGGGGGCAGTTGCTGGGCATCGTTTCTCCGCAGATCTTGACCAGGAACTGTCGCGGGCGCCCTGCGGGCCACGACCCCACATCGGTCTTCTCGCCTGTTATCCCGTCGCCGCATTGCCCCACGAACTCCGCCCATTGCTCTTAAATAATGGGGTTCCACTCTAGCAGGTACTTGACCAAGGAGCGCATGGCACTGTCCGACTCCGCCCCTGCGAGCCCGGAGGCGGAGTGGGCCGGCAAGGCGGGCCCCTCAGGCGGGGAGATGTCGGGGAACAGGGATTTGGTGTCCCGCGCGGCGTTTCTTGACCCGCTGCTCTCCCCGCCTATGCTGTCGTGGCCAGCGCTGCTAGGGGGGTCGGCTCTCCGTCTGCGGCCAGTTGCCTTGCGCGCGCATCCTTGGCGGCCGCGTAGACACAGGCCGGGGTGAGGTAGACGCTGATGTCGTGGCTCTCCTTCTGCACTTCTGTCGCCGCTGCCCTTTTAGCTGGCGCAGTGGGGCAGACGCTGGACGAGTGCTGGTCCAGTATGCGGTCGAGCATACCTGGGGCCACGTTCCAAATGTGGATGAGACGCCGTCTGCAAGCCCAGCCTGCGTTCCACTGCTGTTGGGCCCAGAGGGTGGGCATGAGCCCCCAGGGCGGTAGTCTTGTCTCGTCGTTGGTGGGTGATTCGGGCTCCGGGCCCCACATAAAGCAGCCTGGTGCAGGGCTGGCTGGTGGAGATACTTTTTGATTCGCGGCCCGCAAGGAGAAGTCCAGAGGGCGGCATGACCGAGGCCGGGGCGCAGCGACAGATAATTGGCGCGAGACCGCGCAGAGTGCACCTGCAAACAAATTAGAAAGAGACGAGGCCGAAGCACAGCGACAGATAATTGGCGCGACACCGCGAAGAGTGCACCTGCAGAAAATTTGAAAGGGGCAGCAACGGGTCAACCCGCGGGCGGGGGCGAGCCGAAGCCCCGCCAGAGCACGCGGACCCCAAAAGCCGCTCAGCGTGCGCCAGCAGAAGGGCAACCGCGACTGAGCAGGTGGAACCAGGCCGGACCCGCAGGCGGAGCACCGACCGCCAGCCAGAAGGGGGGGGAGGGGAGGAGCGCGAAGAGAAGAAGAGCACAACCTAAGGGGCAGCGTGGCGGATCCACTCACTTGACACCCAGTGCGTGAACGCCAGCGTACACGCCGGCCACACACAAGCCACCGCGGGGGGTCAGGCCAGTGCGCATGCTTCACGAACTGGCAGCTGACGCAAGAAGAAGGCCTGGGTGGGGTCATTTCAGCCGACCGCAGGCGAGGGCGCCCCCGGGGGCCGCGGGCACCGTAGCGGCGTGGTGCCTCTGCTCCCAGGAGGCACAAACTGTGGCCAAAGCCACCAGCTAGCTGAGACGGCAGGGCGGCGCCTTCGGCCGTCGACCCTGTCCGTCGCGGGCCGGCAAGGCGGCCAAAACCGTGGGCGAGCATACGTCGGCCGACCGCACGGGCTACACGCCCATGTGTATGGGGGTCAAAAGTGGTAGACGCTCCTGCGAGCGACGACGTGGAAGCCACTGCGCGTTGCTGGACTCCAAAGGATGGGGCACTTGGAGGGGCCGCGGCCCGCGTCCGACGCGTCCCGGCCCGCGCACGGCACGGGCAAAGTGACTGGGCGAGGCGTGCCGAGACGCGGTGGGGAACGCCTTCAGCGAGTCAGCTCGGCGCCCCACGGGCCGTCAACGCAGCCAAAACCGACGGCGGGGTTATTTCAGCCGACCGTACGGGCTAAAGGCCCACGAGTACGCGGGTGTCTATCGCGGTGGTGGGGGGTGCACCTCAACCCCAGGAGGTGCCGCCAGACTGCCCCCGCGGCCCGCCGCCGCGGTGAAACACGCACTGCCGCTGGCTGTGCCGACAGGTGTGGCCGCTTAGTGGGAACTCAGCGGCCATGGGGCCCGCCGCGATTGTTTTGCCGGCGTGCGGTGGGCCCTGCGATAGCCGCCCCCCTCGGGCTCCGTGCTGCGGCGACGAGGAAGAGGGGCTAGCAGCCGATAGCCGCTGGTCTTGAGTGTAGAAGCAGTGGCGTAGCAGCCGATAGCCGCTGGACAACTGAAAGGAAGGGGCGACGAGGAACGGGGGGACGCAGCCGATAGCCGCGGGACTTGAAAGCGAAACACGAGGCGGGGGAGAGCGGCCGGAGCCGCAGGACATATTCCGAAGTGGGACCGCCCCGGGGGGGGACAAGCCCACGGTGCACGGGCGCGGCTAGCCTTCCGTGAAAGGGGTCACACGTTGTCCCGGCAGCCCAAGGCCGTGCGACTTGGGGGCTCTGGGCCGCGTCGGCCCTGCCCTGGGCAGGGGGCCCCTGTCAGGCCAGCTGCCGGGCTACCAGCGTGCGAGTTCCCTTCCTCGCTGTCGCTTGTCTGCG